AGGGCTTCAGAGCACGGGAGAGGCTGCAGGTGTGTGTGGGGGTGGAAAGTGGAAGAGTGAGGGGGAAATAAAAGTAGGTTGATAATTGGCTGGGAAAGAGATAGGTTGCCAACTCCAGGTGGGAAATTCCTGGAGATGTGAGGGATGGGGCCTGGAGAAGGTGAGGTTTCAGGAGGCGTGGGACCTCAGACATGTACAAAGCCATAGACTCCACCCTCCAAACCAACTATTTCCTTCTGGGGAACCATCGTTGCCAATCTCAAGGTGAGGGCTGGAGATCACTCAAAATTACAACTGTTCTTTAGGTAGCAGATATCAGTTCGTCTGGAGAAAATGGTGGACTCAGTGTCATTATACCCTGCTGAGGTCGCCACAGCAAATTGACACTGAGTGTCCAAGGCACCTGCCCAGAGCCTCTTTCTGGAGGTCGTTGTATTTATTTCCACAACGGGCCTTTTTCCTAGTTAAGATATAACACAGAACAACTTCCTAAACATCAATGGTATTTCATTATGCACCTACTGGTGTCAGCCAGAATGATACTGGCCCAGAACTGGAAGCAACATATGCACTTCCAAAAATGGAAGCATTGTTATAAAAACTGTGGTTTGTGATGTTAATGACAAAATTTCTACGGCAAAACAAAATTCATTCAAGAAAACGCAAGCTGAAAACTAATTTGTGCAGTAATGGTCTTTGTTGTATTTTGAAAGAGGAACTTTCCACTGGAAAGTTAAAAAGGTATTGGGCTGGATTTGAGAAATGGGGATGTATTTGAGGATGTTATTTTGTGTTGAGAGTAATTGCTAGTTATTAATTTATTTGTCCACTAAAAAAACAACCTCTTTATAAATGTGTGTCTCACAGACACAGATCTTTCCCACCTTTCCAGTCCTCCTTCAGCCACTTGTAATCCCCCAAAAGCTGATACTGGAAGTTGGAAAATATCATGAACAAGATGCAGTGTTGCACAGTGGGGCTATAGTAATAAGAGGAATTGGGCAAAATTCCTCCCACATACCTCTTCTGTCAGCAGAGCATCTGCTGGTGCCAGATCAGGTGTTTATTTCGTTTGCCCCTGCACTAGGTTGGAAGGTAACTGAAATAAAACCCAGATCTGATCAATGTATTCTCTCAACCTGTGCCCACAGTGAGTAGAAATACCTACCACTAATAGGGGTCAGCTTTCCTGGAGTTCCTACACTATCAGGTTGCAGCCATTTCGTGGCTAGGCTACTCATTTCTCAGGTTGCACGAGTCTGTTAAACTATTCAGTTTCAAGTTAACAAACGTTATTATTGTACTATACCACTGTAAAGGGACAAAAAAATTGACTTCAGAATAATGTTCTAATGTCACAAACAACATACTCCTTCACCATGGTGGGCTGCTTTTACTCGTTTATTTTAAAATTAATACCCAACACTTCCACCAGAATAACATTCAAGGCAGCATCACGCTTGCCCTGACTTGCCTACTGCCTACCAGCCTAATTCATGTCGCTGTTCTTCTCCTTTGAAGTCCTAACCAACTCTAAAATCACCGATCTGTAAAAGCAACACTGTAAAAGCAACACTCAATTGACCACTACATACCTGTGACATAAACGGCATGTAGGGAGGAGTTACGGGTAGATCTCCTCCCACTCTACAACTCCTTTCTTTGGAGGCTTGCCAAACCCCAAACATTTTGCACAAAGGTTTCAAAATTTCTCTGTATTTTAATTTAGTGTTATTACCCTCTGAATGGAGCAGACTGAACTATAAATGAAAAACTGCCCTGACAGTTCTTCACTTCCATGCACAGGAAACTGATTTTTTTTCCGTTTGATATATTTGGAAATTATATACATGAATAAAACATAAGGGATATTTATATACAATACAGAACATGTAGCTGCAATCACAAGCAGGCAAACTTTAAAAGCCAGTAGAATAAACTAAAGTTTACACTGTCCTAGCGCAAGCTGAGTACTGTTCCAAATCTTACCTTTGCTAGGCATCAACAGGCGCTTCTTCATGGTGCCTGACAGAATACAATGAATAAAAAAAATTGTATCAACAAATCAGCATTATTTTACAAGATTTAATTTAAAACAAATTGAAATGCCAAAGGTTACCTGAATGGGTGTCTGCTTATTTGTTTGTTTTTTTAAAATACAGATTTGATTTAATTCAAGAGAAGCAGGGCTATTTTTGGGCAGGAACGCACAGGAACAGAGTTCCGGCTGGCTTCAGAGTTGGCCACACGCACTACAGCCCAAACCTCTGCGTGCGTGGCTACAGAGGGAAGGCCTGGAGAGCGACCCCTCCCCGACGACTCTGAGGCGGGCGGGCCGGGGGGCCCCTGCAAGGATCAGGGAGGCATTTAAGTGCCTCCTCATGCCTGTCCAAGGGCCGGCTTGCCTGGGCTCCCCACAGCTGTGGGGCACCCGGGCAAGCCAAGGGAAGGCAGTATAAACTGCCTTCCCTTCCAGGGGGGGCTTGCTTGGGATTCCTGCAGCTGTGGGGCTCCCAGGCAAGGGCCGGCCAGAGTCCCTGCAGGCACGGTGCACCCGGGCACGGCCCGAGTCCCTGCAGGCACAGTGCACCCAGGCAAGCCAAGGGAAGGTATGTGGGTATGGCCTAATATGCTAATGAGTTGTGCTATAGGGGTGTGGTCTATTATGCTAATGACTTCCTGCTGGGCTTTTTCTACAAAAAAAGCCCTGTAGAGAAGTAACAATAAGAAATGCCAAAGAAACAATGAGGGATATAACAGTGAGAGATGTAACTGAGGGTATGGTCAAGGTCTCACGTGCCAGAAAAAACG